AAGCACTACAGTGATACCACAACCCACAGCCAGCACTGAAGTGATATCACAACCCACAGCCAGCACTGTAGTGATATCACAACCACAGCCAGTACTGTAGTGATATCACAACCCACAGCTAGTACTGAAGTGATATCACAACCCACAGCCAGTACTGAAGTGATATCACAACCCACAGTCAGCACTGAAGTGATATCACAACCCACAGCCAGCACTACAGTGATACCATAACCCACAGCCAGTACTGAAGTGATATCACAACCCACAGCCAGTACTGAAGTGATATCACAACTCACAGCCAGCACTGAAGTGATATCACAACCACAGCCAGCACTGTAGTGATATCGCAACCCACAGCCAGTACTGTAGTGATATCACAACCCACAGCCAGCACTGAAGTGATATCACAACCCACAGCCAGTACTGAAGTGATATCACAACCCACAGCCAGCACTGAAGTGATATCACAACTCACAGCCAGCACTGAAGTGATATCACAACCACAGCCAGCACTGTAGTGATATCGCAACCCACAGCCAGTACTGTAGTGATATCACAACCCACAGCCAGCACTGAAGTGATATCACAACCCACAGCCAGTACTGAAGTGATATCACAACCCACAGCAAGCACTAGTGATATCACAACACACAGCAAGCACTAGTGATATCACAACCCACAGCCAGCACTGAAGTGATATCACAACCACAGCCAGCACTGTAGTGATATCACAACCCACAGCCAGCACTGAAGTGATATCACAACCCACAGCCAGTACTGAAGTGATACCACAACCCACAGCCAGCACTGAAGTGATATCACAACCCACAGCCAGCACTGAAGTGATGCCACAACCCACACGAGTGATATCACAACCCACAGCCAGTACTGCAGTGATATCACAACCCACAGCCAGTACTGAAGTGATATCACAACCCACAGCCAGCACTGAAGTGATATCACAACCCACAGCCAGCACTGAAGTGATATCACAACCCACAGCAAGCACTACAGTGATGCCACAACCCACAGCCAGCACTGAAGTGATATCACAACCCACAGCCAGCACTGAAGTGATACCACAACCCACAGCCAGCACTGAAGTGATATCACAACCCACAGCAAGCACTACAGTGATGCCACAACCCACAGCCAGCACTGAAGTGATATCACAACCCACAGCCAGCACTGAAGTGATACCACAACCCACAGCCAGTACTGAAGTGATATCACAACCCACTGCCAGCACTACAGTGATACCACAACCCACAGCCAGCACTGAAGTGATATCACAACCCACAGCCAGCACTGAAGTGATACCACAACCCACAGCCAGTACTGTAGTGATATCACAACCCATAGCCAGTACTGTAGTGATATCACAACCCACAGCCAGTACTGTAGTGATATCACAACCCACAGCCAGTACTGTAGTGATATCACAACCCACATGCTTTTCATAGGGAACAAAGATATTTGATAATCAGAACTGTATTGAAACCATTGACAAACCATACAAGTTGTATTCTCACTGTTTATTTCCACTTAATGTAACTGATATAGCGTAAGTATACAGGTTGTAAAATGGATAAATTTAAATACCACATCATGGGGGGGGGGGGTGTTAATTGCAATCACCAAACAATATTCTACAATGTGTGTAAACAAATAATTCATATTTCGTCACTCTTTTTTATTATTAAAGTTGACAAGTTCTGAATTCTCTGGTTGCTTAGCTACGATGCACATATAAAGGGGGGGTCAAAATTGTTTCACTTCTCTTCTGGTCAGCAGGAATATATAATTTTAAGCAGACATTTTACTGTAATAGTTTGAGTTTTGTGCCAGACATGAAGATTCAGTATTGTTGGCCATCCATATTGGAAAGTAAAGAAGTTTTCATAATATGGTATGCATGTTTTTCAGTCCATTTATAACATATTGGTATCCGTACTTGTACTTATGTTTGTAAGATATACATGGGAGACAACAAGTATGTTTACTAAACCAAAACAGGCTCACAAACGACTCCCTTTCTGTTGTGAACATACATAAGCAAGCAGAGAAGATGCTCGGAGATCTGAAAAGTCATCTAATGCTTATGTCAAAATTGGCAATGTTTTACATAGCTTGCTAAAAATCTTATAATCAGTCAACAATTTTAAAGTTTTGTAAAATTTCTCAAAGCAAACATGTTCTCTTAGTAGTAATAATATTATATTAAACCAGTCCACTGAAATATACGATGAAGATGAAAATACAATATTAGCAACTCCATTAGATCCCAGATAAAGAGTTATCCCACAGCAGAAGCAATCACCTCACTGGCACTCAGTTGAGTGCTTCTCACAGTAATTTGCATGGTAACAGCACCTTCCATCAGAGCTAATCTAGACCTTACTAAAACATCATGGCCACCTCGATATACACCAGCTAAATACAAGGTGTGTGAACTACGACCTTCAGCTACCTTGTCAGACCTCTCACATGGCTGCATACCAAGGAAACTTATGATGTTCTTTACAGCTTCTGTAAATAAAGAGATGATTCATGTAAGCATGGGAATTGGTTTGGTAAACACTTCTATAGCCATTAATAAATAGCAAATCATTATAACAAAATATCTACAATTATACCCTGGAACTTCTCAAATAAAACACTTATATAGTGAGACCCCTAGAATAAAACACTGACAGTGGGACCTCTGGAATAAGACATCGACAGCAGAACTCCTTACAAAGAATCCCACTTCACTTGCCAAGTACATACCTGCCAAACTTTTAGCTGACAAAGCAAATGTTTCTTCAATCTGGTTATCATCACCAATTTCTTCCCATGATGCACCAAAGTTTGGTTTCATAACCCGTTGTATATGATCACACACAGTAACTTCAATGTCTTCCAACTGTACAAAACAAAAACATGCATTAATTTTACAATAATAAGTTTCCTAATTTGAACTCTACAAATTCTTATTTAACCAAAACAGAACTTATTTTTTTAACTAACACTTTTATGAACAGTTATCACACCAGTTGTTTTTAATGGACTGTAGAGTTCACTGTTTACTATGGAGTTCAGTCATTAGTACAATTTACATCATATTAAATTTGCAGAACTGTAGATAACAATCATGAACTGTCCAATAATTAGTATGTAAACATGCCAAGACAAGCAAATGAAAGTTGTCATTTCAGTGTGCAAATTAAACAATCAGATTGTAATCTTTACAACTGTATAGCATACGTGGTCCAGTAGTAATCTGACAAGCCAGCTGATACATGGTCCAGTAGTAATCTGACAAGCCAGCTGATACATGGTCCAGTAGTAATCTGACAAGCCAGCTGATACATGGTCCAGTAGTAATCTGACAAGCCAGCTGATACATGGTCCAGTAGTAATCTGACAAGCCAGATGATACATGGTCCAGTAGTAATCTGACAAGCCAGCTGATACATGGTTCAGTTGTAATTTGACAAGCCAGTATGAGTCGGCGTAGAACTAGTAAACTTACCACATATTCATCTTCATATCCATCATGGTCAGGTTCACCTGTATTAGGATCACAGTCTTTCACAAGAAACTTCATTGTATTACTCAATGTACTTGTAACTGTTGGGAGTAAAACAAAGGGTGATGAACTATGTATAATAAGATTGATGGCATGTCTTTTAAGGTACAATAGATGAAACCTTGGTGTCACTATAAACTATTGTCATATTTCACAAGCATACACTGTACCCTTAACACGTTGCCTGTTTTTATATATTGGACATCGGCAGTTCGTGACTATCCTTGAAGGCTTTCAATGACAGCAGTCGATGTTTTAACTTTAATCTAAAACAGATTATTTTCAAGAAAGTAAAACCTAAATTGAAACTGAAATTACAGAAAATTTACAAACATTGTCTCAACATGTGTGAAGGAATAAACTTGGAGGTGAAAAGGTTAACGATAAGTTGAGATAATTTCCCACAATGCATCTGTCAGTATCCCTACAATAGTACTGTACATACCTGACAATGGATCATCTGGAACTTTAACACAGGTATATGTAGTACTTGGTGTATTATATTTTAAACACTGTGCTGGCACATAATTTACAACTTCAAAACCATCAGAAGGATCCATGTGAATCGTGACATTCTCAAGTAGTTGATCATTCAGTGTATTTGTACAATCAAACTAAAACAAAACATAATGAAATCAATCTTCCAATTCTTGAATATATTTATAGACAAAAGTTATGTTAAATATTTTTTTATACATAGAAATAGACAGTGCTTGCGTGAACAAGATACTGTACCACCAACAGCAGGCAAACCACCCCATTTTTTGCGTCAAATTAGAAACAAGCAGCCTCTCGGCTGAGATAGCTCCGCTGTTAGCAATGCACATTTCAATTAAAGAACAGAAGATATCATTAGAAAATTAACAATATGCATAGTATCAATGCAATGGGACTTGCTGTTTTTAACAAGAAGTCAAAAATATCACTTTTTACCAAAAATGACAAAAATATTCATCAAAATTAGAGAATTGAAGATATCATCATGAAATTAACAAATTTGAGAGTGGTCCACATGTAGTACCTATATATGTAATATCAAAGCAATTGGACATGCGGTTTTTAACAAGAAGTCGAAAATATCACTTTTTACCAAAAATGACAAAAATATTCATCAAAATTAGAGAATTGAAGATATCATCATGAAATTAACAAATTTGAGAGTGGTCCACATGTAGTACCTATATATGTAATATCAAAGCAATTGGACATGCGGTTTTTAACAAGAAGTCGAAAATATCACTTTTTACCAAAAATATTCACCAAAATTAGAGAATTGAAGATATGATCATGAAATGAACAAATCTGAGAGAGGTCTACCCAAGGTACATATACACCAAGTATCAAAGCATTCAGGCTTGTAGTTTTCAAGAAGAAGTCGAAAAAGTAAAACATTGACACGAACGACGACGGACAATCACTCATATGATAAGCTCCGCTCGACAAAGTTGACAGCGGAGCTAATAAACCTCAAGCTTTAAATTGGGTTTAACTATTAAAAGAGAGAGAACTATAAAAGAGAGAGAACTATTGAAAGAGAGAGAACTATTGAAGAAATCTTGTCAACTCACATAAACATAAACTTGGTTTCATTGTTATAGAAATGTGCCTCTAGTAATGGATCAGAACACTGAACAAAATAAATTGTGTATGTGACAATGAAGCACACAATAGATAGGTGTCAGTGTCTTACCTGGAACACAATATGATTACTGAAGGTATGCTTAATACAATGTACAGAATATTCTAATTCAGATTCTGTTAACTCAACAGGCATAGACGATGATTTGAATAATGGTCCAAGTGAATCAAATTCAGGAA